TGAGCATAACATGATAAGTATAACGGCAGTAAGAAAATGCCAAGTGTGTGTGTGTGTGTGTGTGTGTTTAACCAAATTTGACAATCCTCTTTCAGGATTGAAAGATTTATTTCTTTCTTTCCTGGACTTTTGGCATTTTTTGTAGTTAAGTTTTTGGACTGTTTGTTCCTTACCTAAAAGGTACAATGAACTCCAGAGGGAACAATTTTTATTTGTGTCCACCGCTCATGCCTTTCATTAACATTGATTCTGCTTATTTAGATTTTATCTCGATACAACATTTTACTCTTATAAGCCCCTGTTGAATGGGTCTGTATGGCTTTGTATTGTGATACTTTAGGATTCAAGTGTCGTAAGTAACTTTTCACATATAGAAAATGTCATGTCACAGCTGAGAGCAATGTCTGTTTTTAGCAAATTGCTGATCTTTTCTTCTTTCTTTCATGTAAAAATCCACACATATGCACACACAAACCTGCTTGCACAAAATTAGCCTGGATTTCTTCTATCACTCTCTTCTTGTCAAACAATTGTGACTGTGTAAAGTGTTGTGCATTCTGAGGCTAAAACTGGCTCTATGCTACTTTCTCTGGCATCACAGATCTACTAGATTTAGTAGAGGAGCATCGCTTTACTTACAAGAAATAAAGGTGTTTACGAAATAATGTAGAAAGTGAAATTTTAGATGCCCAAAAAAGGTTAGTTTAGAATAAATTAACCAAGTCACTCAAAATTTGAGTGCTACATTTGTTCAATTTTGAATCAGTAGTAAATGGTAATTTTATAGATTTTCACAGCAAGCATATTAGCATCTACATCTTAGTTCTAAATGCAATAATACTTGGGAATGCTGAGGGCCACTGAAGCCAGTCAACAGAGTTTGGAACTGATGAATAATAGGAGGAGTCAAAGATTCTACCTCTACTCCTAACTACCACTCCTCTTCCTCCTCCTAACAATATGCATTTATTATGGTGAGATGTTAGTCAAAGGATGAACATTCAGTTAGAATGGATAATAAGTTCTGGAGAATAAGTTCAGGGAAACTATCATACATCATGGTGACTGTAGTTAATAAAATATATTATATATTTGAAAATTGTCAAGAGTAGATTTTAAGTTTTTTTATAACACTCAAAAATTGTATGTGAGGTAATTCCCCATGTTATGTTAAATAGCTTGACTTAGCCATTCTACAATGCATGCATATTACAAAACATCATGTTGAACAACGTAAATATATACAAAAACTAAACAAATACATAAAAACACCAAAGATGCAATAATGGTTATTGAGCTATAAATTTGACTTTTATTTTATTTCTTTCTGATACAATTCATGTGACAGGTACTGTTATTTCTATTTTATAGTGGATAAAATTGAAGAAATGTGGAAACAGACATCACATGTGCAAGTTCATGATTCATCAAATTAAGTCTGGCTAATTTCCAACTTGTACCTGTCAGAAGCCCATGCTGTTTTTCCATCATCATTGGAGGGCATAGGACTAAAATCAAAAGAGAATCAAGAACTGTATTTGATGATATTTGAAATGTATTGAGTGAGAGAATCTAAGTCAATTTCAAATTAGAAATTTGGATATGCTGTTGCTTTTCCTTTACAAGATAACTTTGGTTTCTTAAGGCAATAATAGGACGACTTTTGAACATTGTAATTCTCCTTTTGGGATAAGATTAAGTTAGTGTAAAATCTTGGTAAACACAACAAAGAGAATACTGGTATTTTTCAATGATGTGGACTTTGCTTGCATTCCCATTTTATCAGCTTTTGAAGAGCCACATTCACTATTAAGTTTGTCTTCAACATCCATTCTCTAGCAGAGCATATAAAACAGTCCCTTCATTTAACTGTGTATGAATCTAATGTAATTTTAACCTAAAAACAGAAAAACAAATTAGGAAATACATTTGTCTTTAATATAATACATAGTAAATTCTATGAGGCTTTTAACCAAAAGAACTTGTGCTTTCTGTAGTTTTCACAACCCATTTTTAGATAATTTATGTAAAATTATTTTACTCCATATAGCATACAGGAAATATCTTGGACTTTTTTAGGCTGCAATGCTTAGAATTGGGCATTTAAAATCATGTAGACTTGGGTTTAAATCTCAACCCCGCTATCTGATCTTCAGTACATCGTTGAACTTCTCTGAGTCCCAGTTACCTCATCTGTAAATTTGGAAGGTTGAGAACACACACCTGGAAGAATTTTGGGGGTAACAGAAATAATTCTTTGACAACAATTATTACAACTGTACGTAGCTATTCAGTAAGTGGTGAATGTTGAGTATTTTGCAGCTTTAAAATCATTGATTTTGGAAAATTATTATAACATACTACTACATAATAGTATTATTACTATTAGTAATATTACTATATTTATTTTTGAACACTATTATGAGAAACCAAAACCATTTAGAACCTTCCTAACTTTTGTTTTATTTTTGTTTTTATCCTCTCCATCTGTGTAAGAATCTGAGAAATTATAATTTCGAGCTTCATGCCAAGAACATTTTATCCTATCAGCGATTCTTTTTCTTTTCATTCATTTTCAGAAATACCTCCAGGTCTCTGTCCTGATAATCCATCTAGAAGAAACACACTTCCCTAGAGATAGGGCTTTATTTAAAACAGTTCTTCATTCAAGGCGAGAATGTCCATTTGCTGGCATTTTCCCCAACTTATCTGGGCACATATTCTTATACCTGGGGTATGTATCCATGACAGTCACTATAGTGATGTCCCCCAAGGACCTTGACACTATGTAAGCTTCTTTCCCACTGAGTTTTGGGAATACGAGCTGGCAATATTGACTTAGACCCTTCAGGCGGAAGTACAGTGACTTATCACTTTCCATAATTCTGAAATCCTGCAATGCAAAAACTTCATGACAGTTTATGCTCCTTTTCTCTTGTCTTCTGCCTCTTTCTTTAAATATTTCTGATCTTTAACTCTACCTCTTGCTAACTACCAAGCTGTACCTAATCCATATTGTGAATTGTATCTGGGTACACTGAGTTCTGGTGCCAAAAATCATCCAGTCCATTAAAGTTTTTTGTGAGATGCTTCATGTGGGACACAGTCTTTTAAAGCTCATAACAAACAAATATATGTGATTCTTTCATGAATAAGTAAAAATATATGTCAACTCTGTATGAGATTTATTTGAATATTTGGAAGACAGACATTTCCTCATACATCTCAGTGTTCGTTTATATTTGAAGAAGTGACACTTCACATTATTATTGGATTTTCATTATCATTATTGGGAAAGTTCTCACAAAATCTCAGACCTGAAGTTGTAGATAGAATTATGGCCCACAACTATGTCTGCATCCTAAACCTCAGAACCAAAGAATATATTAGGCTATGTGTCAAAGAGGAAGTAAGGTCACAAATATAATTAATGTTGCTCATCAGCTGTATTTGGAATAGGAAGATAATCCTGTATTATCAAGATGAATCTAGTATAATCTAAAGGGTCTTTAAAAGTAAAAGAAGGAGATAGACGAGAGAATTATAGGCTGAAGTAACTTTGGAAGAAAGACACAGAGAAATGTAACATTGCTTTCCTTGAAATAGAGAAGGAGTCTATAGAAGTCATGAAATGTGGGTGGCTTCCAGAAGCTAGAGAAGGCAAGGAAATGTAGTATTCCCCCAGAGCCCCTAGAATAAATGCAGCCTTACTGACACCTTGATTTTTAGCCCAGTGAAAGCTATAGCAGACTTCAAATCCACAGAACTACAAGATAACACACTTGTGCTGTAAGCTGTCTTCAGTCATTGAAGTTTGGGGCAATTTGTCAAAGCAGCCACATAACATGAATACACAATTTTATTTTTTTTATGTAAGAAGACAGAGATGATAAATTGGTTACATTGACATGGATATTGAAGGAGGAGAGTAAAATTAAAGCAAAACTTAGAAAAGGCAGTATTAAGGGAGGTTAATCTCTCATCTTCCATATCCTCATCACGTTTCTTCCTTAATGTTGCTAACATCATGCATGCTTACAGATCAATGGAGACTGTTTGACCATTTATGAAAGAAAATAAAATCATAATCTACACTTGGTGGATGAGAGAGTTCCTACCGTCTTTCAGAAAACAAACAAATTATCTTAATAAATAACCATTTAAACCATCTTGGTATATTAAGACTATTACTTCTTAGGAAAAAAAATGGCTCATTATGCATTGCAGTTTTATATAATTGCATCATAGCAGTTTGTTCAAATGACCCTTTTAAGAAAAATAAGTGGAAAACTGAGTAATCTTACCACAAATCTTAAAGAAAATGAGACATTTGATCTTGCTATGAATCCCAAATTATTGCATGTTCATCTTTTATAAAGTCTCAAAAATACTTTAGGAAGTTGAATGCTACCATAAAACCCCATGCACACCAATCAGTTCCATGGACAGAAGCAAGCAGGTGGAAATCTTGAATGAAGGTCAGTCTACACAGGTGGCTTAAAGTAATTTACACGATAAATCTTTGGAAGGACAGTGTTGACTTCTAATCTCTCTACCCCTTTATTTTTTTTTCCTCTAGCTACGTTTTTGAGAGAAGTTTATAATGAACGTCATAGTGTGCTTGCACTAATCACCAGCATGCAAAGATAAATGGTGATGGGGATAATGACACAAATTCTATAAAACTCCTAGAGTATAGAACAGATTTATTGTCTTTGTTACAGTTCATAAAATACATGAATGAAAATTTTGAAGTTTGGAACATTTTTATCTCAAAGCAGAGATGGCCCTGACAGTTTTCAGTGAAATGTGGTTGATATATTGATGCTTGCATTGGGAGTGGAGTTGGGGAAAGGAGATACAAAGAGATAGGGGAGGGTTTTCTTTACTCAAAGAATAATGAGGTAATTTCTATAATTTTAGACATTACTTGAAGAGGACCCAGCAACATGTGAAGAATTAAAAAAATAAAGGGCTTCTGATTGTCTTTTACATTGCAGAGAATCTTGGTTTGGATACTGAGGTTGCTAAAGCAAATGCCCTGGGTTTTGTTGGATGCATGACTTCCGTCCAGTACAACCACATAGCACCACTGAAGGCTGCCCTGCGCCATGCCACTGTCGCGCCGGTGACTGTCCATGGGACCTTGACAGAATCCAGCTGTGGCTTCATGGTGGACTCAGATGTGAACGCGGTGACCACGGTGCATTCTTCATCAGGTACACTCAAGAGAATGCACAAGGGAGTTTTTGTCACTAGCACTACTTTTGGTGTCTTCAAGAAGCTTCCAGATTAAAGCATTGGCTAATATGACTCAATTTTTACCTTGCATAATTACAGGTGGTTGAAAATTATGATTATGATATTTCATGGGTGATTTTCATATATATTTGATGTAGTTCAATTTTTACTATTTTGAGAGAATGAGTAATTAGAACTAAATGCATGGTTGTGTACTTTGCTTATTATACTCATATATAATGTGGTGTGTGTGTGTTTATGTGTGTGTACATAGTCACTATTGTTGAAGTGGATACTACTCTGAGAATTGAGGTGTTTAGAGAACAGGGAGGCAGCGAGCTGGTTCCTGTACTAATATAATTCATGTGATTAAATAAACATTTTTAAGCTTTATTAAGAAATAATTGGCAAAAACAAATTATATATTTTCAAAGTGTAAGATGTAATAATATGATAAATATGTGCATTGTGCAATTATTATCACAATTAAATTAATCAAAACACTTATCACCATACATAGTTACCCTTTGTGTGTGTGTGTATACGTGTGCATATCTGATGAGGACACTTAAATTTTACAATTTTAGCAAATATCAAGTAAATAATACAGTATGAATAATTATAGTAATCATGCTGTGCATTAGGTCACCAAAATTTGGGCCGGGTGTGGTGGCTCATGCCTGTAATTGCAAGATTTTGGGAGGCCAAGGTGGGTAGATCACCTGAGGTCAGGAGTTCGAGACCAGTCCGGCCAACATGGTGAAACCTCATGTCTATTAAAAATACAAAAATTAGCTGGGCATGGTGGCAGGTACCTTACCTGTAACTCTGGTTACTCCGGAGGCTGAGGCATGAGAATTGCTTGAACCCGGGAGGCAGAGGTTGCAGTGAGCTGATATCATGCCACTACTCTCCAGCCTGGGGGACAGAGTAAGACTCTTGTCTAAAAAAAAAAAAAATCACCAAAATTTATCATCTTTTGACTGAAGGTTTGTACTCTTTAACCAACAACTCCCCATTTCCTCCACACACCAGCCCCTGCAAAACCACCATTCTGTTTCTATGAGTTTTACTTTTTTAGATTCCACATGTAAGTTATATCATATATAGTATTTGTCTTTCTGTCTTGCTTATTTCACTTGGTGTACTGTCCTCTAGCTTATTCCATATTGTCGCAAATGGCATGACCTTTTTAAGTGCTGAATAATTTCTAATTGTGTGTGTATATGAAACAATATATTAATTCATTCAAGCATTAACAGGCAGGATGTTTCCTTATCTTGGCTATTGTGAATAACACTGCAATGAACACACGAGTGCAGAAAGCTGGAGGTATCATACTCCCTGATTTCAAACTATATTGTAAAGCCATGGTAATCAGAAAAGCATAATACTGGCATAAAACAGACACATAGACCAATGGAACAGAATGCAGAGGCCAGAAATAGACCCAGGTTTATATAATCAATTAATTTTTGGCATAATTTCCAAAAACACATAATGGGGAAAATGTTGCTTATTCAATACATTGTGCTGGGAAAATTGAATATCCACATGTAAAAGAACAAAATTGGACCTTTGTCTTTCACCACATAAAAATTAACTTGAAATGGATTAAAACCTTAAATGTAAGACCTGAGATTTTGTAAACTCCAGGAAGGGAACATAAGGAAAAAGCTCCTTAACATTGGTCTCGAAAATATATATATTTTTACACAACACCAAAAGTAAGATCAAGAAGAGCAAAAATAAACAAATGGGACTGCATAAAACTAAAAAATTCTGTACAGCAAAGGACACAATTCGCAAAATGAAAAGTCAACCTACAGAATGGAAAAAAAAAGTTTTTAAACCATGTATCTGATGAGGGGTTAGTATCCAAAGCATAAAAATGATTAATATATCTCAATAGCAAAAAAAGAAAAGAAAAAAGAAAAACACTTAAAAAATAGGCAAAGGATGTGAATAGGCTTTTTTTTTCTACAAAAGACATGCAAACATCTAACAGGTACATGAAAAGGTGTTTAACATTACTGATCCACAGGGAAATGCAAATCAAAACCACAATGAGATGTCACCTCACAGCTGATAATATGATGGCTAGTATCAAAAAGACAAAAATAGCAAATGTTGGAGAGAATGTGCAGAAAACGGAACCCTTGTACACTCCTGATGGGAATCCAAATTGGTACAGCCATTATGGAAAAGAGTAGGGATGTGTCTCAAAATATTAAAACTCGAATCCTATTTCTGAATATTTAACCAAAATAAATTAAATCAGCCTTTCTTAAAAATAGGAAATCCCCATAGCACCATCATCCATACATCCTCTGCTTCACCACTCTTTAAGTGCCGTTTCTATGTTTTCTTAGTCACTGTGATTTTGGGTGTCTTAAAATGTATCTGGGATTTTGTTTTAATCAGGTATGATAAGGTGGCAGGCATGAGATGACTGCCTTTAAAAGAAAAGGTTTTTTTCTTATAGTTCTCCAGAAAAGGAGATATATTATACCACTGAGAGCCACATGGAGAAGTGACAGGTTTGGTCAGGAAGCAGAAAGAGAAAGGGGAAAGGAGGTAGGCAAGCTTGAGCCAGTTCAAATTGCATAGTTTAAATAACTTGGGCAGGATCTGTGTGCTACAGGGGTGATCTCTAGTTGTCTAATACTTGGCTTTGAGTGATTTAAGGCAAGAAAAATATTGGGTTGGTGAGTGTAAGTTAAGTACGTGAGTTACTGGGGAATTGGGGCTCTGGATTGATTGGTTTGTATATAAAAGGCATGGTTGTAGGCATGTTGTTTGCTATCTCTAGGAATTAGCTAGCCCTGAGAGGGGCAGTGTCTCCCTGGCCAGCAAGGTCCTCAAGATGTTAAAGTATCATAAGCACTGATTTAAAAAATGATTCATACATTGGGATAAAACCAAGACATCAACATATATCAACAGGCCAATATAATATAGATAGAATCAGTAATAATAGTGTCATCGTTTTGATTATGCTTTAAAATAGTTTGTATATGGATGAGGGGGTATTGTCAGATTTTTCCAGGATGCTTTTTCTAAATCCACAGGATATTTATTTGATTCAGATTTTACTGCTAATATTGATAATAAATACAAATTTTGTAAGTAGTGGCGATGAACAGGCTAGGTCTGAGATGTTTGGTAAAGCTCCTAGTTTACCATGGTATTGTCTTACCGTTCCCTTGCCTCCCAGCTCACACTAAGAACAATAGTGGTAGGTGGTGAAGGGCCATTGTTATAAAACACTTTGGGCCATGATAATTTTCTCTTACAGGCACAATTCCTCCAGAAATGATCTGTGATAGGTCAGGACGTTTTCGTAGGAAGATAAAAGTTGGGACATCTTATATCATTTAACAAGTCAAAGGGATTTTTAATATCTTGGGTAATACATTGAGAAACATTCTGTTTTATATGGCAAGACTCTTAGCCAAGACCTTTAGCCTGAGATCCTTAGTGCTCAGTCCAATATTTTGTAAAACTTGAGGGCCGGGCATGGTGGCTCACGCCTGTAATCCCAGCACTTTGGGAGGCTGAGGAGGGCAGATTACAAAGGTCAAGAGATCGAGACCATCCTGGCCAACATGGTGAAACCCCATCTTCCTTAAAAATACAAAAATTGGCTGGGTGTGGTGGTGTGTGCCTGAGTCCCAGCTACTTGGGAGGCTGAGGCAGGAGAATTGCTTGAACCTGGGAAGTGGAGGTTGCAGTGAGCAGAGATTGCGCCACTGCACTCCAGCCTGGCACCTGGTAACAGAGGGAGACACTGTCTCAAACAACAACAACAACAAAACTTGAGAAATAATTTTTTAACAAATCTGTAATGTGAGTAGGAATTTAAATATTTCTGTCAACTCTTCTAGCAATGTATTGCCCACTCCTTTACTGCTTTAGGTATCACCATTTTATTTTTCAAATACCATTTTAGTTGTCTTTGATGAGATTGTTGTGATTCTCTTCTTGCCTCATTCGTCACACATCTTTTAAGCAGCTACTCAGTGTTGACTTCCATAGTTAGCGGAGATAACAACAAATAAGAAACTTTCAAAGTTCCTAATTTTTGAAATCTGTAAAGATGATAGAAGGGATGGTTCAGGGAATGAGGGTGTGGCATTGGCTGCCTGGCACTATGTCATAATACGGTGTGAGCAATGCTAGAGCAAAGATAGGAGCAGGGTTTGTGGGGGGTGTGGAATCTAGAAAAAGCAGCAAATATATTTTTAGATGAACTAATAATCGATGTATAAATAGTCTGGTCATGGCAATTGTTTAGGGAGAAGGGTTTGCAGTGTTCAGAAGACAAAAGACAATTACAAAAGGAAATACTTACGTTAAAGTGCAAATTTCTGGTAAAGTGTAGCATATCTAGTAATCAGTGAAAACCCCTCATGGGGAAATCATTAGGTATAAGTGTAGAAGTTCTTACGGAGGTTCTTATGGAATGTTAGCTCCCTCTCCCTCTATCTCTCTATATAGATAGATATTCCATAGAGATAGATATAGGTAATTGCTCAATGTCTATGTATATAATTATAATATATAATAAATTTTATGCTATAAGAATAGATTTATATAGAATAATATATAATTAATTCTATGCTGTAAGAATAGATTGAGATGTATATTTATATGGCATAAATGTCTATTCTATATAAATCTATTCTTATAATCTATTCTTATAAATCTATTCTTATAATCTATTCTTATAAATATAGATTGAGATGTGTGTATATATATATATATATATATGATATAAATAGGTAGACGCATTTAAGCTGAGTCATTCTTTTTTGAGAGGGGAATTAAAACTAAAAGATATCTCTAAAATTGTTAAAGACAATTTGGACACACTGTGAAGAGACTGTTGAAATAAATGAGTAACTACCCCAAGGATTACTTTGTAGAAGGTGGCCGTTAAGCACAGTTATAGGGGTGGTATTTTTAATTTTTGTAGTCTTGCTAGTGAAGCTGTCATCTTACTAGATCTGAAGTATTTTGTTTGTAGCTTTAATAAATATTAGAGAGTTAGAAGTAGCTAGCTGGGTTAATGTGTATTAATATATTATTAGCAAAGTTTGCTAGAAATGTGGAAATCTGATGTAAAATCAATGATATGTAATAACCAAGGTTATTACTTTGGTTAATAATATTAAAAGTAGTACATAAATTCAGTAAGGGAGGAACCGTTGTAAGTTGGAGTAAGAAAAAAGGCCATGAAGCCAGAGGCGGTGGCTCACGCCTGTATTCTCTGCACTTTGAGAGGCTGAGGCGGTCAGATCATGAGGTCTGGAGCTTGAGACCAGCCTGACCAACATGGTGAAACCCCATCTCTACTAAAATTATAAAAATTAGCTGGGCATGGTGGTGCATGCCTGTAATCCCAGCTACTCAGGAGGCCGAGGCAAGAGAATTGCTGGGACACAGGAGGCGGAGATTGCAGTGAGCTGAGATTGCGCCACTGCACTCCAGCCTAAGTGACAGAGCCAGACTAAGTCTAAAAAAAAAAAGGCCATGATCTAGATGATCTAATAAACCACAATGGATGACTCACATTTGAAGACAGTCACAGTCATGTACCAGTATGCAGATAATGGTCTGCATAGTCTCCATAGACTGTGTCCTATAAAATTATAATAGAGCTGAGAAAGGTGGTAGAAATAAGATCATTGTAGCAATCATAAGATCCTAGTACAACACCTTATGCACATGTTTGTGGTGACTCTGGTATAAACTTCCTCCTCAATAAAAGCCTTGGGTATTTTCTTCAGGAAGTAATTCAGAAGCAGGCATTGTTAAGATAGAAGATAGTAGCTCTTGCATGCTGTTGGCCTTGAAAACCTTGGACTGGGCGCGGTGGCTCACACCTGTAATCCCAGCACTTTGGGAGGCCAAGGCGGGTGGATCACGAGGTCAAGAGATCAAGACCATCCTGGTCAACATGGTGAAACCCCTTCTCTACTAAAAACACAAAAAATGAGCTGGGCATGGTGGCACATGCCTGTAATCCCAGCCACTCAGGAGGCTGAGGCAGGAGAATTGTCTGAACCCAAGAGGCAGAGGTTGCAGTGAGCTGAGATTGCACCATTGCACTCCAGCCTGGGTAACAAGAGCAAAACTCCATCTCAAAAAAAAAAGAAAGAAAGAAAGAAAACCTTTCAGTGGGACCACATGAGGAGGTGGGAGACAGCGATGTTACTATCCTGAACCCATGTAAGCCTAGCCTAGTGTGTATGTTTGTGTCTTTGTTTAAAAAGACAAGTTTAAAAAGTAAATAAATAAATTTAAAAATAGAAAATAATCTTTATATATAGATAGATAGATATTAGTATTTTATTATACTTTAATTTCCTGGGTACATGTGCAGATCTTGCAGGATTATTACATAGGTATACACTTGCCCTGGTAGTTTGCTGCCTCCACCCCCAACAGACCCCAGTGTGTGATGCTCCCCTCCCTGTGTCCATGTGTTCTCATTGTTCAAACCCCGCCTATGAGTGAGAACATGCAGTGTTTGGTTTTCTGTTTTTGCATCAGTTTGCTGAGAATGATGGTTTCCAGATTCATCCATATCCTTTTTTATGACTGCATAGTATTCCATAGTGTATAGGTGCCATGTTTTCTTCATCCAGTCTATCACTGATGGGCATTTGGGAATGAAAGGATATAAAGAAAGTGTTTTTGTATAGTTGTATGATATTTGTCTTTTAACTGTTATTACGAATAAATCAAAAATTTTTAAAAAAATAAAAAGTTTATATAGCAAAAATGTTACAGTAAGCTAAGATTAATTTATTATTGAAGAAAGAAAAAAATGTTAATAAATTTAGTGTAGCTTAAGCATAGTGTGTTTATAAAGTCTGTAGAAGTGTAGAGCAATGTCCTAGATCTTCACCACTGACTCGTCCAGAGCAACTTCCAGTCCTGCAGGCTCCATTCATGGTAAGTGCCGTATGCAGGTGCACCCTTTCTTTAAATCTCATATTTTTACTCTGTCCTTTCTATGTTTACATATGCTTAGGTACACATATACTTACACATGTGTTATAGTTGCTTACAGTATTCATACAGCAACATTCTATACAGGTCTGTAGCTTGGGCGTAACAGTCTATACCATATATACAGCCTAATTGTGTCATAGGCTGCACCATCTAGGATTGTGTGAGCATTCTCTATGATTTCCACACAATGACAAAATTGGCTAATGACACATTTCTCAGAATATATTCCCATCATTAAGCCACACATGACTCTTTACAAAGAAGCAGGAGGCATTTTAGGTAGGTAGACTAGCTCAGGGATATGCAAGAATAAGAGCACAGTGGATGGTGTGATACAGGAGATCTAATAACCAAATATTTTCATTTTTCTCTCTTCCTTTCTCCCTCCCTTTCTCTTTTCTTTCTTTCCTCCTGCCTTCTATCTTTCACCAGACCTCTTCCCCCCTCTCTCCCTTTCATTGCCTCATTTGATTTCTCATTTTCCATCTTCTCTTTGCCTGCCTGCTCTCTCTCTGTCTGTAACACCCACTATCATCATCATCACCTCGTTATCAATTGGTGACATTATATATATATATATATATATATATATATATATATATATATATATACACGTTTTTCTGCCTGTATGAATGCATGTATAAAGGCCGTCCAGGTGTGCAGAGATTATTAATAATAACATCAAGTTCCAATGAAGTTTTTCCCACCAGATCTACCTTATCAATGCCACCAGTTCAGAATACCTGCCCCATGGCCAACCCCTTCTTTAACTACAATACCTTTACCATTTAACCCTATCAGCCTTTCTCTCATGTTGGTTAGTTTCTGTTCCAATTTCAAGAGTTCTAGGAAAAGACCAACTCTGTACACCACAAACAGCATAAACTACCACACTCTGTTCACTCAAAGACACAATAAGTACTTATTCAACATCTTTCATGTGTGTCTATGGCCGTGTGGTGAGGACTGCAGTATGAAGAAGTGTGTGTGTCTTGGCGCTTTCATTAGGAGGCTTCATGTTCCACTAGTAAGACAAGGATGTACATGTTTATACACATGCTAATGTGTATGTAATTAATAGTAAGCAAAAGTATAATAAGAAAGAAGACTTAGCACATTGTCCCAGGCACCATTCTAAAAACATTTATAATAACTTGTGTAATTCTTACAAAATATTTTAAGGTGAAGACTATTCTTTTTACCATCTGACAGATAAGAAAGTTTAAATGACACATGACAGGACTAATGATATCACATGGAGGCTGGAATTCTGCTGCTGCCTGCACATCCCCAATCTTGGTATTTTTCCAGCAGCAGAGAGGAGTAATAGAAAGATCCTGAGTGCGGAAATTGGATAGCTTTGGTGTGAATTATGCCTCTTCCATGAATGATCTGCAGGACTTTGGACGTGAAAGTTTGATTGTTCCAATCTAGTTTACTTCTTTGCCAAAGGGGAACAATAATACTCATGTTGTAGTCACTTCCCAATGTTTAAATGAAAAATGATAATAATAGTGGCTGTTCATAAGTATGTAGCAGCCACGTGGTGCTGAAAATTTAACATGCATTATAGGCACACATAGAAGTGTCACTACTCCCCTTTAATACATACGCAAATTGATACTTAAAAAGAGGTCTTGCTCAATATTACCAAACAAACAAACAACAGAGCAAAGATTCAGACTAAGGTCTGTGTGCCTTAAAATTCATGTTTTTTTTCTTATATCATATACAGTAATGTACATATGGTACAATTCCTCTCTCATCAGTGAGGGCTGCTCCTAAGGCTGTTAATTCTCTAGCACTTTTGTTCTTCACTGACAATGAACTCAGAATTCTCTTGCATCTGGAAAAAACTCTAAAGCAGAGCAGCATGCCATGCATAGGAACTGTCCAGCAAGGCAACAAGGGACCTCTGGGGCAGGGTGAGGGCATGTGGGCAGGATACCACCATCGTCTGTCTCAACCTCTAATCTTACAACTTGCATATAAATGAACAGGGCCATTGAACTCTAGGGTGTGAATGGTGCGCTTCCAATGCCTTCTGCTTGTGCATGTTTTTTGAGTTCCTTGCAACATGTCAACTCATGGCTACATGAGGGCACCTGGTGCAATGCACAGGTGTGTCATTACAGGTGTGCCACACTGTAGACTTCCTGCCAGTGCTTTGAGTGAGAAGTGAAGTCCCATGTCTTTTACTCCTTTCAGATCCCTTTGGGAAGACAGATGAGCGTGAACCACTCACTAATGCAGTTCGAAGTGATTCGGCAGTCATTGGAGGTAAAGAGTTCATTGTTGTTGAATGCAAAAAGATATAAATCATCCTGTATTTTGGATACAGTTATCTGAAGCCTTCCTTAATTAAGGTCATACAATATGCAGAGCCCCACATTATCTCCAAGTCTGTGAGCCACTTTTCATGAGCAGACATGTGTGCTGAATGATCAAAGGCACCCTCTGCCAATACCAGCAGCTCTGTGGATTTATCCTGCCTCTGATTCATGAGGCAGCTGAGCACTGAGTCAACAGCTGGAGCATTTACTTACAGACAGCAGCTCACATTCTATTCATTTCATATAGTTGTCACTCTTCCTAAAATGCAAACAAAGCAGAACGATAAAACTAAATACGGGGAAGAAGCCACGTTGGGGCAGACAACGGGTGAAACTGCAGTCCTGTCGAGTGTTCCCCACCAAGTGATTTGCGTTAGGTCTAATGAGCAGGGTGAAGCCCACAGGACTATAGTTTCAACTCTCACTGCACATATGGTTACAGATGCAGACCTTGTCTGCTCTGCTGTGAGCTCAGCTCTCCTGCTTTTCCATTTTCTCACTGCCTCTTGGCCTCCCCACTTTTTTATTCTGCTTCAGCTTGGCTTCCGCCTACTGTGGCTTGATTTTTCCATCTGGGTCTTTCAACACAGAATGATTCCCAAGCTTTGCTTAATGTAAGATGCCTGTGAAAGACCAAACTCGTTTCTGTCAAACATAACCTTAGCAGGTGCCGCCATCCCTGCCTTCTGGAAGCCTAGATGAACGGATCCTCGGCAGATGCAGTTCTCCTTTTAGAAGCCTGCAGTATCCTTCCATTTAACTTATATTTAATGAGCCCTGCTATGGGTCAGGCTCTGTGCTAAGTAGAGGAATACGGGGATGAAGGAGACAGGGAGGAGATGGGTAAACAGACAAGACAACCAGTGAAGACTGTTCTGTCGGGAGAGGTAACCTGGGAGCACAAAGGTGCACTCCTGATAACATGAAGAAAGGAAAACCACGCCTTTCCTTAAGGAAGTTTCTAAAATCTCTGACCTGAATTTCTGCTTCAGAGAAGCTGGTCTACCTTAATTTTTGTTTGGCATTCAGAAATGTGGGAAATAATTTTGTGCCTATTTCTCTTTCAATAATTCCCCATTTGACAAGTGGAAAATAGACGTTTGTGACTGCTGACTCTCTTCTGGGAATTTATAGGCTCTGTGAGTCTCTTTAAGGGCAGGAAAGTCACCTGACCCTGTAGGAAATTTTCTGGTGGTTTACACAGCTGCTGACTCTGACTATCCTACATATTGAAGGTGTAGAAACCAGTTCCTTATTTCATCTCTTAATGAAACCCACTCGTAGGAGCAACTTACAGCTGCCCGCTAGTGAAAGTCACTCACCCTCACCCAGTTTATTTATAGACTTGCTAACTTAGGTGATTTTACTCTTACTTGTTCTAAAATATTTGGAGGAAATGCCACAAAATGATTTAGGAATATATATATATATAAATAAGTGTTAATAATGGCCCCAGTTCTACAAAAAAACTGACGGAAGACACGCCATTGACATATGAAACTTTCAAATATCCATGCTTCTGAAAGTCATAATGCAAGATATCAAAAAATAACTTTCTAAAATAGACATTTTTCCTCTATATCTCCTCACCTCAGAAAAATGAAACAGCAGAATATACAATTTATTACAAGTAAATTCTTTGCTTATCATACACGTTTTCAAATATTTTCATGCTGAAATATCTACATTCAAGTGGAGACACATCTGTCACTTCCTCATTTGCACCATTCCTTGGCTGATACTGCCTTTCATGTTCCAAGAGTTTTCCTGGCAAAGGTAGAAGTGAGACCTTAGGGTCAGCAAGGACAGCTTGCAACATAATCCAGTTAAATTACACACAGTCAGAATAAGGGGGAATCTGATGGGCCTGGGCAGAAGTTTGCCATCTCAGTTGACTCTGAATTTCTCGAGAACAGAGGTGTCTTGTCACTGAACAAGCCTTAGTGTCACAGAGTGCAGAACAGTGTAAAAATCCTCTAAAAATATAGTAATCATTCCATTATTAATGAAAATGTTTTAGCAAAACAAGCATATAACATAAAACAAATTTACATGAGGAGAACATGTGTTGAGATGTGAGATATTTAAGTACCATTTTCTAGGACACTAAAGTAACTCTGAAATAGTTGTGAGATGACAAAACAATGGGCTAATTACATCTGACACATTCTTTATACCAGATTTGAAAAATTTACCTAGAAACCCTTGCTAGTCCAATTCCATATGTATAAGATGACATTCAAAGTTCTTTAAACAAAACCTTTTATGATTTCAACTGTCTTTCTCCCCAGCCAGTCTGAAAGAAGGAGATTTTATAGTAATTGAAGACAGGGCATTTCAGCAGATTTTTATTTCTGGGCAGGTGGCAGACTTGTGTTTGTGTGATTTGTTTTGTTTTCTTTTCTCTCCTACGTGTTTCCATCATCTGGCCAGAATCTACTCTCCTGAGCAGATGATTCGTGACAATATCCTTCTCTCTTTCCTTCCCCTTTATCTCCAGGGGTGATAGCAGTGGTGATATTCATCATCTTCTGTATCATCGGCATCATGACCCGGTTCCTCTACCAGCACAAGCAGTCACATCGTACAAACCAGATGAAGGAGAAGGAATATCCAGAAAATTTGGACAGTTCCTTCAGAAATGAGATTGACTTGCAAAACACAGTGAGCGAGTGTAAACGGGAATATTTCATCTGAAAAACTGCAGGGTTCCAACTACTCTTTTTTCTTGTTGCTCAATTATCTCCTCCCCCTCTTCTCTCCTGTCTTTTAATTTGTTCATTCTCTTTATTTTCTGCTTGCCATTTCTTTTTTGGGACATACTGCATCCACCACAGCATCAATTCTCTTGACCCAGCCCAGGAGACCAGGCCCCACTGCCTTCCTCTCTGATGAACCTATCGGGTAAAAACGACTACTCAAGAGACTGACTTCACTATTCAAGACAAGGAAGAGACACGTGTGCACTTCTGCATGTTCGGTTCTGTACTTAAGTTTCTAAAATGCACTGTTCAGTTTTGCAGCCATTTGGTGGTTCAGGCTTGCTTTGAACCTAAGCTCTGTGGCTTAGGCACATGACGGACATTCCTGATATCCTTCCCATCTCAAGTCCTTTCTTACCAGGGAACCCAGGGCAAGGAGAGAAGAACCTAGAGGCCTGGTTTGCCTTGGTGGCATTGTAAAAGGACTAAGAGAGGTTTGTTTTGTGATTATGTACTTTCTTTACCATAGGCAATCCCTTGCCTTTACTCATCAAGCTTTTTCACTATGACTCTTACTTAGCCCCTGAGTATTTTCAAATGTATGATTGCTGATAGTAGTGAGCAAAATCACTTTGTTCCTTTCTCACTACTTTCTCCTGGGGCCAACACTTTGGGACAGTACACCATAGCATAAGGCTAGGGGATGCATGGAAATAGTAGCTTGAAACTAGGACGTAACAAGGAAGCTTCTAGGAAGTAGATATTCCATATCTTCAAAAATGCCTCCTCCAATTTTGTAAGAATGCTAGCTAGGTATCCTGGGATTATTATACTGAGATAAAATATATATGCACACATATACGTTGCTGCAGCATAAAGAAATTGAAATAAAAGTTTAAAATAGCACCTTGTTCAATGAAAGAGCCTAAACCATCTTAACTCAGCTTTAAAACAAAAATGAAATCAGGAAAAAAAAAATGAAAAAAAAAAAAAAAACTGCATGAAAGAAGAGAAATACCAAACAGAATTCTTCCCTTCCATTCACTTACTAAAGACCTGGTGAGGACAATTAATTTAAATTTGCAAGTTTCACATTTTTGAACATCAAGCTATTTTCCAAGAGGTTTAGGATGCATTAGCATAAGATGCATAACATAAGATGCATTAACATTAACATAAGTGGCATGGTCACCTCTAGCTAACGTTGCTAACTAACAGGGCTCCTCCTTAGCTATCATATTTTCAAATCTGCTATGCCCTATATACATAAAGACCCTTCCACACACCATTTTGTTGAATTAAACTCCCAGTAGAGGTGGTGACAAATTTCAGGGTCTTGGCCCCTTTTGGTAACAAAGCATTGAAAACACAGTCATTCCTGCAAGAAGCACCTTGAGCTCATCCATAGGGTTGTGGCAAAGATCTTAATGATTTTTCTGTGGCAATATACATCATTCTTTGTCCCGGGCCATCTTGGAGAAAAAGGTAAGGAGAAAACAATATAAATGCTCCAAGATGCCGGAAATGCTCATACAATGATTCTCAGATGTGGAAAACACTTGCTGATTCTCTTTAGGAGGCAGATTCAGTTTGGAAAACAATGACCACAGCTCTGTTCGCCAGCCTTGACAGTTAGCAGACATTCCGTCTTGTGCTTAGTGTACACTGTCTCTCGCCTCTCACAATGAGGAACTTAGTTGCTTCATGCCATTTCGAGAACAGCTTTTCTTTCAGTTTCAGCGCTTATGAGATAAGGATTTAGTTTGCAATTATGTTTCTCTATTTTAAGATATTCTTTCCTTAAAATTGTCTGTGAATCTGAGCTTAATCACTTTGTCATCTACATTACATCTTTTGGCTAGTAAATATATTTTAACGTGATTTTAACAATGATAACATTTCTCTCATTTTAGTTTTTGTTTATCTGTTGTTTTTTTTTAGACAGAGTTTCACTCTGTTGCCCAGGCTGCAGTGCAATGGCGTGATCTCGGCTCATGGCAACCTCTGCCTCCAGGGTTCAAGCAGTTCTCCTGCCTCAGCCTCCTGAGTAGCTGAGATTACAGGCACCTACCACCACGCCCAGCTAATTTTTGCATTTCTTTTTTTTTTTTTTTTTTGAGACGGAGTTTTGCTCTTGCTACCCAAACTGGAGTGCAATGGCGTGATCTCAGCTCACTGCTACCTTCGCCTCCTGGGTTCAGGCAATTTTCCTGCCTCAGCCTCCCTAGTAGCTAGGATTACAGGCACGTGCCATCATGCCCAGCTATTTTTTTGTATTTTTAATAGAGACGGGGTTTCACCATGTTGACCAGGATGGTCTCGATCTTTGACCTCGTGATCCACCCATCTCGGCCTCCCAAAGTGCTGGGATTACAGGCGTGAGCCACCGCACCCGGCCTAAGTTTTGCATTTCTAATTGAGATGTGCTTTTACCGTGTTGCCCAGGCTGAAGTGCAGTGGCATGATCTTGGTTCACTGCAACCTCCACCTCCCAGGTTCAAGCGATTCTCCTGCCTCAGCCGCCCGAGTAGCTGGGATTACACGTGCCCACCACCACGCCCAGCTAATTTTTGTATTTTAGTAGTGACAGGGTTTCACCACATTAGCCAGGCTGGTCTCGAACTCCTGACCTCATGATCCACCCGCCTTGACCTCCCAAAGTGCTGGGATTGCAGGCAAGAGCCCCCACGCCCAGCCTCCTTTTAGTTTTAATAAGATGAATGATTCTTGAGTAAGACAAAGGATCTTTAAATACTGTTTTCCCCTGCTCTTTCCTCCCTTTCTTCAATTTTCACTTTTGAATTTGCTATTTCCATAAAAATGCTGTATAAATTGGCCTTTTGCTTGGCTATATATTGCTTTGTCCCCTGAAATATAAGTCACCATGAAGTGTAGTGGGTTTAGCCTGAAGCAGCTCCAATAATGAAATAGAAAGGGAAAGGAAGGTGTGAGTAATAAAGCTGGACCCCTTCATTATTCAATCTCTGAGCAGTGAGGACTATATTTTGCTGTCATAGTGCTAATAGAAGAAATGGAGACTAGCAAAGGCTAACTCAGAGTATTTGATTTTCTCATCTAAGTATATATGCTTGTAGATTGTCCTGCAGAATGAAGAATCTGTGAAGCTCTATCCTGACCACAATTGCACTACAAAATCAACTGGGATCTTCCTCCTGTGTGTAGACTCCACGCACACTACATACCACAGACTAAATATAGATGCCAGGACAGTGCAGTCTGCACTCTACTCTTCTAAGTAGTCTCAGGGCCTAAGCAGAATTATTTTTACAGGGTTGAATTATTTCAAAACCCCAGAAAACACTAACTTTCGCTAGATGTATGTGAAATACAAGTGAGCCGTACCCTCCAAAGTAGAATTCAATTTACAGTTAGATATTGTGCTAACTCTGACTGTCTTTCCTCAGTCTTACCAAGATCCATGCAGTTTTATGTAATTGTTCAATTGTGTGAATGTTTCAATCCTTGAGTAATTATTAACTTGAAGGAGACTTTGAAAGCATCTTAATCTTGCTTAACCACTTTTTTTGTTTTTTTTTTTTTTGTTAACCTACCCCATTCAGGTTTCCCAACTATATGCTCTGGCCATCTGTGCCACAATGATCTCTTCCACTTAAACCTTCAGCCTTCGATAACTGCTGTTTACAAAAAGATTTTATAGCATATGTGTCACTTTACAGTAAAACCAAAAGTACTTGTGAAATTTCATATTTTCATGGGGCTGTTTCACTGATTTTTTTTCCACCAAACAAATCTATTTATGTAAGCAACAGTGTATTTGCTTACCCTAAAATATATTTAACCTACTGCATCATTTATTGTGTATATAGGCTCAACTGCCATCTTTGTGAAAATTTGTCTGGAGAAATAGACATTTGTCATTTCTCTAGATACATTTTTATGGATAGCTTTGCCCCTTCTATTCACCCTCAGCTGTTTGTAGAAGATTTATTTAAGGATCCTAGGGGTAATATTTTAAAACAATTTTTTTTCTCTTTAGCAATAACAGAGATGGTACTAATTTGACTTCTACGTCTTGTCAGACCCATCTACACCTAAACGTAGCAAGAGCAGGATAGAACAAAATAAAGAGATTGTTCTCTTCTTTCTTCATTCATGAAGTATTTATTGAATGCCAATGAGTGCTATGCTAGGCATTGGATGAACATATATAAATCACAACTTTTCCTTGTCTTTGGGGAGCTCAAAGTCTAGCAGGCAAGGCCTGTATTGTTACAACAGGGGTATGCATAAAGTGCCCAAGAATGCAACACACGGTCCTGCACAATTATTTTTGTAAAGAATTTTCTAGAAAGAAACAGCTAAATTTCTGAGAAATATTTGTCTTTTTTTTTTTAATTACTGCTTCCCCCTTCCATAAGCTGTTTTGTTTCTCCTCCTCAAAGTAAATATCTATTAAGCATGTAGATTTCTGTTGAAAGGAGAAGATTGATTTTTAGGGACAGTAACAATAAATGGTCTCTGCGTCTGCCATACATTTGGGGAGGCCGAATTCTCTACATTCTTGTTTGAGGTCAGGTTAGGTGATTCCATAAGGCTTCCTTCCCATGAGTTGGACCGAAGTGTCTCCAGTTTGGCCCTTGTCCTTCCCTTTTCTCAGTTCTTTTACTGCCATGTGTTTGTGGCCTATTGCATGCCATTGTTCTTCCAGATGTTGCTGAAAGTGGTGTTACGGCAGTCCAGCTGTTTCTCAAATCCTCCTTTGTCCTGATGAACCATTTTGACTCTACATAGGCAAATTTCTGAAATTAACTGAAGTCTACCCTTCAGTCCATAAGCGACTAAAAAATGTTGTCCATTTATGTGAGGTCTCACTTTTCAGCCTGAGCGAATGTTTGCTGTCTTAAGGTCATAGCTGCTCCCTCTCTGCAGGAAGTTAATTCAGTTACAGAAGCTGCACTGGGAGGGTGCAAACACAGCCAACTTATCCAGTTCAAGATATCCAGGGAGACGAGGATCAGGCCTGTTGAATCCTTTCTCAGGAAAAGAAAGGTCTTAACAGATTGTTCACCAACTGCCCTAGCTTCCTTTGAGCTACCATCTATCAAAACCTCACTGCAGCAGCAGCCTGCCAAAAGGCCTTTGGGATACTTGTATGGTTCTGCCACTCATTCTTCCTTAACCAAAAGGCTTGGAGATACTTAGTCCTCAATTGTCCTACAAGTCATGTATCGACTAAATAAATAAACAGACTGTTGTTCCTGAAGATGGCACAGGTTATTAACGGAAGAAGATGCAGGAAAACTCAAAACTTTCAGTAATCTTGGAGGATAACTGAGTGCTATTTCGTGTCTCTCATGCAGTTTGAACATGTTTTCTTAAAATGCATATAATGGAATTAAATTACTTCTCTATACTGTTCTTGGGCCTTCCTTGGCCTCTTCTTTTATCCCCTCTTCCATACTCTTGTTTGTGGAACCATCTAATTTGCAGATTTTGGTTGTCTCTAATTCTCAGATCTGCCTTCAGAAATTCCAAATAGTTGAACCACCTAAAGGGGAAAAAGTGCAACACACACACATGCACACACATGTGCACACTTTGTAAAAATAGGGCTGTTATTCAACTTTTCTCTAGAACATTCTACATACGTATCTGTTCGGTAGGGAGAGAAGCATTCCTCTTTTATGTTGACAATTATTTGAATCCTTCATATAAGGTTTTAATAATTAATCGGTTTGCTATTTTTGAGTGATTATTTTATTTTGCACTAAGGTACTCCGAGGAAGAACAGAAAAGCACATTTTCTAGTGAAATATTGTACTTTGTAAGCTAGTTGTCTGTCTTTTGTAATGTTCATAGTCTACGAAGTGGCTGAGCAAACATGAACAGCGGTTAATGCAAAAGTTGCTTTTGGTTTCAACCCCACCCGCTGGGAACTTCTCAAGGAGGAAGAGGGGCCGGTGGCAGGAATTGGTGGCTGTCTGAGGGGAGGAAGGTCACTGTTTCCACCAGGAATCAGTGGTGGCAGCCATTACACTTTCCTGGCTCCTAACTCAGGAGTCTCTTTAGTGCATTTGAATCATTGTCTTACTCATTAGGGAAAGAGGCAATGTCATGGGCTTTGCATGAATAATTCTTTACTCACCTTTGCATGATATTTTTTTACCTTCCAACACTTCTTCAGTCACAAATTTTTTTCAATTCTTAAAAAAAATTTTCAGGATTTTCTCAGAGTGCTTTAGAGCTATTACTATAATTATCTAACCTGCCCAGGCTAAGCACCCAGATACAACTTTCAGGAAACAAAACTGTCAGGAAACTGCCCTACATCTATTATCCTCAATCAGAGCCCCTGCGAGTGGAAGTCCTCAGATTCTGGAATACAGCCAGTGTCTTTCTTTTCCTTCCATTGGTCCTGAAATGAATAAATATACCATAACTGTAAGAAGGAATGATTACTCTGCAGCCCTGACAATGAGTACCACCAGGGACCTAGGATCTAAGACCATCTGGGAACACTGTTTTTCTCAGTCCTTCAGGTGACACAGGGAAACCCTTTATAAAATAGGACAAAATTAGGAGATTAGTCCCAAGCCAAGACCAAAAGTGAAGATAATTGCGTTCATGATTAAAGCCTGGTCTTATTTTCATTAGTGTCATAGTCTTACACGCTTCGGGTGCCAGAAATATCTTCAGAGAATATGAATAACGTGCTGGATATGCACCAGGAATAATGCATTCCCCTACAGATTCTTTGAAAGGTTTTCTCTTTCAAGAAAACTTGAAGGGAAAATATTAATGGGCATCAGCCTGGGCATACATTCCCATTAAAGTCGGCCTCTATCCCAAATGTTTTACATGAAATATTCACCTAGTCTATTCTGTTTGAAAGGCAGTATCAACCTGTGTAAACTTGTCCTGCCTCAAACACTGTTGAAAACAATACCAAACTTTAAACCAGCATCGTTATATAAGAGAAACTGCATTTAGTGAGCACCGAGACTAAGAAATTTCTCTTACAGAGTCTGGCAGTTGACAGGCTTCCTGATATCCCATGTTGCCTTGGGCTAACGTTTTCCTTAGTCACTAGCCTATGGCAGAAAGGCAGCCATGTATAAATGAATACCCATGGCCATGTTCCAATATAACTTTCTTTACAAAAACTGATATAGTCCATAGGTTGTGGTTTGCTGATTCCTAAGATAGAGCATTACAGTGTCTGTTTCGGATGGGAAGTAAGTCTTCCTATGGCATGTTCGGGCCCTCACATTCAGGGAATGAGAAAGAGTAAGGAGATAAATAATAAATTGCAGAATAACCTCCCCACAAAAATACACATATGTCAGACTCTTTCTTATGGTAAAAGCATAAAACAGGTCATCTATTTGTGGGGCTGCTGGAGTCTACATTTTCCTTTTTATCTTCTGATTTTGTTCTTAAAACAAAATCCCAAGTGATGTTGCCTCATTCCAAGTCAGCTTTGTAGACCATGTAACGTGTCTGAATACACTGTATGGGGAAAAAATAAAAGTTAGCCTTAGACTTCTTTGTTTTCTATGGTTATTGTTGTACAGAAGAAAGACAAACTGTAAATAATGTATATTTAATAAAGAGATCATTTTGTATGATTTTGTGTGGAAGACAGATGTGCCTTGCTGTGTTTTCTTGAGTTAATGAAGAGTCAAACAATTAATCCCATAGCTCCCATTCTCATTCCTTAGACCATTAACTCCCAGACAACATGACCTGTGGGGTTGCTGGAGAAACACGAAACTCCCACTGGCTGGGTTTATTGATTTCAGCATGGCTAAAAGTACTGTCTTGGGCTCACTCATCGCTGAGCTGAGTTATCCTGGGCAACATGCCTGGCTCAAATGTATATAAGAGCAAGCTCATTGATTCAGTCAATGTCAACCTCAGTGTTCTGGAACCACCCTGGTTGCAGCTACCCACATGAAACTTCAGACTCTCTTCCACCCTCATCAGCACCCACTCACAGGAACCGCAGTTATTCTGTCTCCTAGCCTACATCTTTTTCTTACAAAGGACCTTAACCCTATGTGTTTAAGAGACAGAACAAAGACTGCTGTGAAATGGAACCCACTTCATGTGGTGTTTATTAAGACTTCTATATATGAGGTAGTCAGCACACACACAGAAATTTAAAACTGACGGGGCTTTGAACAGAAGAGAGACACTATCAGATTTACCCTTAAGAAAAACCTATCTAACTTCTCAATGGAGAAGGAACCATAGCAGGATAGAAGAGGAGGAGGAGAGTGAAGTTAGGGGCCATTTCAAAAGCCTGAGGGAGGGTGGTGGTGGCTTGGACCAGTGCTGGAGTAGCAAAGATTCTAGCTGTAGCTGGGTATAGACAGCAAAGACAGGGCTTGGTGGATTGGGAAGAGTGTGGGTGGAGCAAGCAATCAAGAAAGCTTGGATTTGGGGCTTAAGCAACTGAGTAGATTGGAGCACAGTTTTTGTTTTATTTTGTTTTGGAAAATCATGGCTGTGAAATGAGAAGGGTAGACAAATGTAATTTGGGATTTCGTTAAGTTTGAGGTTTCAACTGGGCAGCAAGTATCAACGGAAGTTCAGTGGCTGGGTGCATGTTTGTAGTTCAGCAGTGAGGGCTGGTCTGCAGATACTTGAGAGGTGTATATGCGTACATTTCTACGTATGAATAGGTATATCCACACACAGGCCTGTGCACGCACACACACACACACACACACACACACACACACACACACAGGTTGGCATCGTCTAGGTCAGGAGGATAACTAGGAAATAGATCTAGGAGCAGTGGATGTTCTGGGAGGATAAGCTACACAAGGAAACCTGCAAATGTGCACTGAAGAATAAGGAAAACCAGGTGAGTCAGTTGGAGCCCTGAGTATAAAGTGCTTCATCAGGAGGAAGCAGAGAGTTATTAGATACTACTGAGAAACTAAGGCAGGTGAGAATAAATAAAATCACAGGCCCGGCAAGGTTAAGGCACCGATGACCCTTTCTAGAGCCATGTAATGAAGAAGTGGGGAGAACATATGATTAAAGTCAGCTGAAAAGTTGGCAAAGCATGGGGGCAGCATGGAACCAGGCTCAGGGCATGTGAGCAGTAGAAACAAGTGAACATCAGAGTTAGTCAGACTGGGTCTCAAATAACTTAAAACCCCTTTCCTTAATTTTGTGATCTGAAATAAATTAACCAATGTAACTCTTATGTTTTCCAGATAAAGACTGGGAAACAAAATGAAACAAGCAAAACAACTTCACAGATCCTGAGGACTGAATGAAATCATGCACACACACCAACCTAGGAGAAGAGTTCATGGTCAGGGGCTCTTTGCAATGCTGTGTTTTAGTAAATTTTTTTATCATAACCTAATCTACAGTAAGTAATGCACACACATATCACACAGAATTAAATAAAGTGAGGCATAGAAAAGGCAATCATGCTTAGTTCAGCATGAGGGCTTGTTGTGATTTGTAAGCAAATAGGGCTAGAAATAAGTCTAGTTCTGGCTCTGCCATAAATTAGGTGTGTGACCTTTAATAAATCATATGCAGAGAGCCTTTAAAATGTTTCCTTAAAAGGTAAGTCACGAATCTAAATAATGACATGAATCAATTATCTTTAAAGAAATGTTGTGATAATTTGTGATATCAAATAAATTGGACTTTCGGGCTTTTGGATAGACAGTCATGACTTAAATTTTGTTGTTGGTGTTTTTATTGAGACAGAGTCTAATTCTGTCCTCCAGGCTGGAGTGAAGTGGCATGATCTCAGCTCAATGCAACCTCTGCATGCCGGATTCAAGCAATTCTCCTGCCTCAGCCTCCCAAGTAGCTGGGATTACAGGAGCGCACCACCATGTCCAGCTAATTTTTGTATTTTTAGTGCAGACAGAGTTTGACCATGTTGGCCAGGCAGGTCTCGAACTCCTGACCTCAAGTGATCTGCCCATGTAGGCTTCTCAAAGCACTGGGATTAGAGACGTGAACCACCATGCCTGGCCAAAATGTTAACTCTTTTAATTGGTAGCTGAGGGACAGCAAGTGCATAAATGGCTTCTCATCTCACCTCTGTGCTTCAAATCCTCATACTCAAAAGATTTTATATTTTGTTTTAAGCCACTAAATTTGTGTTAATTTGTTATACAGCGGTCATAAACTAATACAGTCATATTCCTTAGTGGCCTCATGATCAACCTGTGCATGATACCACATAGGAATGACAGCACCTTCCTCATAAGGCTGTTATATAGGGATACAATTAATTTAATTTTGTAAAGGGCTTAGACCAGTCTGATGCATATATGAGTGTTTTTAGGTTGTCAAAAGATGTTTAAGCACTATCCATGTCCTCAGAAAATGCTAATTTCCCTCCCTTCTTTTTTTGTGAGCTGGATTCTAGTCGCATAGCAGAATCCGAGTAAAACAGAAAGTTCATGGGGGACAGTGTTAGTTTGAGGTCTGTTTTTCATCCCTGTGTTTGATTTAGGCCAGTGAATTAAAGGAGGAGAAAAAGATGTCTCTTAGTCCAAGCACACCTACAGTGTGTGGGGGAAAAAACTAATGTTATTTTTAAATACTCAAATTTGGGAATGATATCTTAGGCCATTCAAGCTGCTATAACAAAATGCCATAAACTGGGTAGTTTATAAACAAGAGAAATTCATTGTTCACATTTCTGGAGGCTGGAAGTGCAAGATCAGGGTACCAGCAAGGAAGAGGGAGCTCTGTTCAGTCTGTTTTACGAGAGTACTAATCCGTTCATGAAGGCTCCATCCTCAAAGGCCTCACCTTCTAATACTCTCACTTTACAGGTTGGGCTTTCAACATACAAATTTTGTGGGGAATGCAAACATTCATCCCACTGCAAAGTCAATATGAATTTATTTTAATTTTCACGGTGATTCAAAAAGAAAGTTTTCCTGGGTCTAACTCTTATCGGGTAAATAATCTCACAGTGTCTGCTTCTTTGAGCCAGAGACCAAGCTGAAAAGCATTTTGAGTACATGAGAGCTATGGCTGAGTTCAGTCTGTCACCAACACACAGGGGTTGTTGAAAGCCAAGTCTATGAATGTGAAATCCTTCCATGGGGAGGAAACAGGAGCTCTAATGACAGCGCTGACTGATAAGGTAAATCCAGTTCAGCCATGTCCTCTGAGGCACTCTAACTGTTGGAAAGGACCTTAGAGAATTCAAACTTGTCTTAGAGCCATCTTTCAACTGTGTGGAGGAGAAATGCCATCAGCTGAAAGTACACAAGAATGCTCTCTGTGTAACGGCAGACGTGGCAGCTCTCACTTTCCTGACACTTTGGTTTGGAGGCTGTGACATCTCGTCCCTGTCTCCCAGGACTCTTTGTTGTGTGTGAAGCTCTTATTTAAGAAATATAGACTTTACTTCTATGAAATACTTAGAATAGTCAACCTCATAGAGACAGAAAGTAGAATAATGATTGCCAGAGATGATGAGAGGTGCAGAGGGGAGTAACAAAAGGGAAATGAAGAGTTACTATTTGACGAGCACAGAGGTTCAATTTCATCTTTCCAAGCAATTTGGAAAGATGCAAATAATTCTGAAGATGGATGGTGGTAATGGTTGCATAATAACGTACGTGTACATAATATCACTGAACTCGACTTCCTGCTAGCAAGGATTAAAATAATTCTTAAAAAAGAAACTGAACTATACACAAACAAATGGCAGAGATAGTACTTTTTATTATGTGTACTTTACCACAATTTTTAAAAAATGGGGAAAAATAAATGCTGGCTTATGAAGATAATTAGAATAAGTCAAATATCTTCATGAATGCACAATAGTAATAAATAAAATAATAGAATATTAGCATTTTTGTGGACCTATTGTGTGTACAGTTCTTTTTATATGTTACCTCTTACTGTCATAATAAAATCATGAGGGGTAATATTTTTGTCATATTGTAGATAAGAATATCTAGCCTAAGAAAATTAACTTGTTAAAATTAAGACATAGTCTGATGTCACAAACACTTGAATTCAACATCCATTTTGTTCATTATTATCAATGTGGCTTTGGGCAAAACTTTTACCCTGTTATGCAATTTCTTACCTAGAAAACTAGAATATTTCTATTTTCAGGAAACAAAATATTTCTATTTTCCAGAATCATACTGCTGGTTAGTGGAGCTAGGAAATATCTAACACACTTCACTCAGTCAGGCTGCTCCACAACTAATTCAAGTGACGCATTTTGGCTCTAGTGCAACTGATCTGCCTCAGACTTCTCCTGCTTAATAAAACTACAAGCAACAAATGAACAAAAAAACAAAAACCAACAACAAAAAACATCGCCTTCCAAAAAGAGAAACAGGTGCTAAAGAGAGTTGTTAAAGCCCATTAATATGAGAATGAGGCTTTCTCAGGCCAGCTACATAGAACTAACATTGAAACAGAGGCAGCAAGAGAGTGGGACACAGCACTGCTGGAGTCATTCCATGCCCACCAGCATTGCTTCCTGATGTGCCTATTCTCAGGACCAATCCTTGGAGGGTGAGGAGTGCAGCGGGCATTTTTGTGCGGATGTCTAAGGTGGTGAAATATTCTTTGGAGAAATAATATTTACCTGAAGCTAGGG